TTCTCAAGGCCTTTGGTAAGTAAATCTGGAAATTGATCTTTAGTACTAACATGATGAGTTTGAATGAGACTCCGCTGCAACTTCTCCCGTACAAAATGACAATCAGTGTCAATGTTTGGTCCTCTCGTGAAATATTGGATTGGCAGTTATCTATATAGCCACTTTGCTGTCACAAAAGAGGTCTATGGGCAATGTCACAGTGATTCCTAGTTCCTTAAACAGACCTACAAGCCATGATAGTTCAGCCACTATTGAAGCCATGCTCGTAAATTCTGCCTCTGCTGAACTCCTTGACACTTTGCTTTGTTTCTTGGATTTCCAAGAAATAAGTGATTCCCCGTACTTCACAATGTACCCTGTGACTGATTTTCTGGACTGTGGGTAGGCTGCCCAGTCGGAGTTACATTAAGCAACAAAGGAGTGAATTTGTGTAGAGGACATCAATAACCCCAAACATGGAGCATTCTTCACATATCTGATGACTCTTAGGGCTGCATTCATGTGTGACCTTTTAGGTTTGTGCATGAATTGGCTCAGAACCTGAACCACATAGGCTATACAGGTCTGGTCATGGTAAGGTAGAGCAACCTTCCTACCAGCCTTTGGTAAGGTTCAGCATCTGGCAGTATAGTGTCCTCATCATCCTTGGTCTTCGTAGCTTCATCAAATTCCACTGATGTGAGCTTCTGATTTACTTCCAAAGGTGTTGACACTGGTTTTGCTCCCCTTAGCCCTGAATCAGAGATCAAATCAAGGGCGTATTTCCACTGATTCATTAGAATTCTAGCCTTTATTTCCACTGATTCATTAGAATTCTAGCCTTACTTCTGGCAAATTCTATGCCTAAGAAGAATCCAAGCTCCCCTAAATCTTTCATTTTGAATTTCTTCTGAAGGTTATCTCTAGCAGCTTAAATGAGTTGTTGATTATTACCTGTCACCAGAAGATCATCCATATAAACTAGGATAATAACCAAATCATCACCTCTCCTCTGTGTGAATAAGGAATAATCAAAATGGCTTTGGACAAATCCCAGGTCTTGGAGAGCCTTTGTGAGCTTCAAGTTCCACTACCGAGATGCTTGTTTGAGGCCATAAAGGAACTTCCTCAATTTGCACACCTTGGCTCTAGACTTCCTCTTGGTTCTAAAACCTTGAGGAAGATGCATATATACTTCTTCAAAGAGATCACCCTGCAAGAATGCATTGTGCACATCCATCTGGTAGATGTGCCAATGCTCTGAAGCAGCTGAAGCTATGACTGATCTGACAGTCACCATTTTAGCTACAGGAGAAAAGGTCTCCTTATAGTCTAAACCTTCCTTTTGGCTGAAGCCTTTGGCCACAAGCCTAGCCTTGAATCTTTCCACCTCCATATTGGCTTTGTATTTGACTTTGTATACCTATTTGCATCCTATAGGAGTTTTACCTTTAGACAGATCAACTATATCCCAAGTCATGTTGTCTTCCAAAGCTTGAATTTTCTGTTGCATAGCAGTGACCCATCTTGCATCTTTGGTTGCCTTAAAGTAATGTTTGGGTTCAGCAATGACTGGTTGTGCAGTGAGACATGTGATATATGAAGGAGATAAACCATCATAACTCAAATAATTGGACATAGGATATGCACAAGAGTTTGTCACATAATCTTTCATCCATCTGGGAGAACCAGTTGTTCTTTGGACTTTCTGACTGCAATGAGTTGAACATCATCTACATGTGAGGGAGATTGAGGAGTGTCAATATTCTGTGTTGCCGAAATATCAAATTGTGCCTCAGGACTTAGTGGTGAATCAGCATCATTAAATGCAAAGTCATTGGTAGGTGTAGGTGGACTCTCCTGAACAACATCAGGAAAATGTGAGGTTAAGTGCTCATTTGTTAATTCAAGAACTGGGAATAAGGGATTAGGTAGCATCTTCATCTGTTTAAAAGGGAACACCTGCTCCTTAAACACCACATCTATACTGATTAGAAACTGTCTGGATTGCAAGTCATAAAATTTATAGCCCTTTTTTGTTGGTGAATATCCCATAAACACTGCTGGCAATGTCGTCGCAGAGAACTAGTCTTGTTTCCTCACATTTACAGCATAACATAAACACCCAAAGACCCTGAGGTGATCTAATGATGGTGCAGTGTTAAAGAACATTTCATAAGGGGACTTTACGTTCAAGGCTGTAGAAGGCAATCTATTAATTATGTGTACTGCTGTAAGAACACACTCAACCCAAAATCTTAGGGGTGCTGCAGCTTGAAATCTCAAAGCTCTAGTTGTTTCAAGGATGTATCTATCTCTTCTTTCCACTATGCCATTCTGCTGCGGAGTATAAACACATGTGGTTTGATGTATAATTCCTAATGTCTCAACTAACTGCTTCATATTTGAATTAACAAATTCAGAGCCATTATATGTTCTCAAGATCTTAACAGAACAATCAAACTGATTACTGATCATAGAAAAGAATCTTTTCATTCACCAACAAGTCTCATCTTTAGCGTTTCATCAAGAAGAGCCAAGTAATTCTAAAGAAATCATCCACAACTGTAAGAAAAAATCTTTTGCTATCATAGGTGGGTACTCTGAAAGGTCCCCATACATCAGCATGCAAAAGATCAAATGGTGCCTTTGCTCTACTAGTACTAATTGGAAATGGCAACCGTCTCCCTAGATAATGGACAAACAGGATACATTGCACAATCGTTATTTTTGTTACTAATGTGGAGATTCTTGAATTTATCAATCCTTTTAAGTGTATCCATAGGTAGGTGGCCATGTCCCTGGTGTTATATCCCCAGCTTTATTGAATCTTGACTAACTGACATAGAAGTAGGCATGATTGTGGTATGTACAGTTGGTGTAGGAGGCTTCCTCCTATGTATGGAATCTTTGAGTATGTACAGTCCATTTGTGTCACTACCAATCCCCAACACCTTTCTAGTGTAGAGATCCTGAAACACACATATATCAGGAAAGAAAGCTACCAAACATTGCAGCTCTTTTGTCAATTTTGAAATTTACAGTTGATTATACTAAAGTTTGGAATATAAAGAACATCATTAATCTGCTGGTCCTTGAATACACTAGTTGATCCACTATGTGTAATCGCAGCCACATCTCCATTTGGCAAGTGAACTGAGTTAGGTTTTAGGAATGGGGTTGGATTATCTAATGCTTCTAGCTTTGAAACCATATGGTTAGAGGCACCACTATCTACAATCCAAACATTTTCATCCAACTTAGACATTAGAGACATTATAATACCTGAATATATTCCTGTTGCATTAGCTGCTATTTCAGTTTCCTTGCCTTTAAGCAGTTGTAAAATTTGCTGATATTGTTCTTGAGTGAATGTGGGAACCATAGGAGTGGAACCAGTTGTGGTTGCTGGAGCATCTTAGCCGCAAAGTTAGATGTTGCCTGTGAGTTGTACTTCTTCCTGAATTTGTTATCCTTTGGATATCCTACTACCCTGTAGCAAGTTTCTTTAGTGTTGCCTTTCATGTGGCAGACATCACACTGAAGATTGTAATTTTTCTTTGGCCTCTGCTGATTCCCAGACCTATTTGTCATCAGCGCTGCCATCTCACCCCCATCAACAGTGGTAAAAGTGTTGGACATAGTCCTCTGACTCTCACGCTCCATCAACATAGAGTAGGCTTTGTTCACAGATGGAACAGGAACCATCATCAAGAGTTGACTACGTGCTTGTTCATAAGACTCATTGAGTCCCATTAGGAATTGTAGAAGCTTTTGACGCTTCATAAACTGGACATATTCACGAGAATTGACAGCATCACGACTAGGAATTGGTGCCAAACTGTCAAATTTTGCCCAAAGCACTCTCAATTTTGAGAAATAAGTTGAAATTGAGCTAGTACCCTGCCCAGCAGTAGCAATTTCTCTGTGGGTCTGAAAAATCCTAGAACAATCCACCTTATCAAAACGCTCCTTCAGATCATCCGATACCTCACTAGCATTTGACGAATACACCATTCCACTCAATAATTTCGGTGAAACACAGTTGATCAACCAAGACAATACAATCGCATTACAACGCTCCTAGAGATCAACGAGATTCGTGCCGTAATTCTCCCTTTTGCATGTGCCATCAATGAAACCTAGTTAATTCCGACCTAGGATTGCAATCCTCATTGCCCGGCTCAACACAGAGTAATTTTTCGGTCCTCGCGATTGCAACGAAATCAATACAGCTCCTAAATTATCATTTGAATTCACGAAAAGTGGATGATTGTGACCTAATTTCTCTGGTTCGGTGTTATCGAGAGTCGCCATTGTTGTTCCTCCAAATTAGCTTCGAGAGAGCAAAATTGAAGACGATAAGACCACACTAATGGCCATGTGGCTTTGATACCATGTCAAATTTAGCTATCCATGAAGCTCAGCCATGAAGTTTTAGCTGATTAGAAGGTGACCTCTTGAGCTTGAGCAAGCCGGCAAAACAGAGAATGAAGATGGAGAGAATGTTCCAAAGGATTCTGTTATTTCTTGTATATCTGTACATGTATATGTAGAATGAAATATATACGACTAAAACTAAAACTAACTCTACCACTAGATATAGTTAAGTAATACTACTATTAATCATAATAAACTTAAGTTACAACCACTACAACTAACTAACTGTCATTGCTTCGCCGCTCATTAAGGTAAAAATTGTTACTGTGTGATTACAATAATAGGAGTAAGATTTTTGGCTTCATGACTTTTCCTGATCTTCACACGTAACGAGAATTTAGTGTACATCGAGCTAACTTTTGACTATGATAAGATTTTGTCTCATAAAAAAAAAAGGTTTCATTCTTCAAACAATGAAAATGAAAAAGAAAAAAACATAACGAGATAGATGTTGACCAAAGATTAAAAAATGATTATCCTTATTGATGAAAAGTCAGCAGTGTGGCATAGTGATGACCCAACTGTCTCTACTTAAACTTTTACCGTTGCTTCTCAGATTCACGCCTATAAATACCTTCAACTTTTCCCAGTCATCTAACTATACCCCCAAATACCACACTCAATTTCTCTCTGTTCTAAACATTAATATAAGCGACAAAAAAAAAATGGTTTGTTTCTGTTTTCTAGTTGATCAAACAAAGCAGGTGTGCAAGAGCAAACCAGCGGCTGGAACATGTTCCCGGTGCGGTGGAGGAGCAAGTGTTGCTGATATGAAAACTGCTACAAGGTTTTGCTATGTACCTTTCTACTGGAAAAACTGGAAAGCTATTGTCTGTACATTCTGTGGTGCCATTCTACGCTCTTACCGATGAAATTAATGAGTGAGACTTAGTTTTCTTATATGATCTTGGAGCTCATGAACTAGGCCGACGTCCATTTTACTAAATATAGTGTGTGTTGCAGCTTCTGGATGAGTAATTTTTGTGCTAGTTTTTGTTTCATTTTTTTTTTCTTAATTATTCTTTAGGCATTTTTATTTAATTTATTAGATGATTATTTAGATATTATTTTAAGAGGAAAATGTACTAACAGCCGCTATTGTTAATCTATTCAGAAATAACTAGATCTCTGTAATTCTTCTTTTCGTTTTCTCCTTTTACTCGGTTTCAATCTTGAATCTGTCTCGCATAACAAAAGCTAATAGATGAAGGAATATACGATTTGCAATCTATATCATTGTAGCTTCTTTTTTTTTTTTCTCTTGAAAAATCATACCCCTTTGTATTATATTCTATTCCTTTTGTTTTTAGTCACTCTTAAAAAAGACACATTTTTTTATTTGAAATTTTTTGAACTTTAAACTTTTAATTTTGCTTGAACATATGCTCTTATAATCACAAAAATATCATAACATATTATTATCAAAAAAAGAATATACCATAACATGTTTAAGATTAAAAGTTATAACAATACTTTTTATATGTGCGGAAAAAACTTATATTTTGATCTGATAATCTTAAAAGTGCAGGCCGGTGCACTAAACTCCCGTTATGCGCGGGGTCCGGAGAAGAGTCTGATCACAAAGGTCTATTGTACGGAGTCTTACTATGTCTTTCTATAAGAAGATGTTTCCACGGCTCGAACCTCTGAAAATAGTAACTTTTTGGTTGAATAAGGTATAAATACTTCAACTGCCAGTTTGAGCTGGGAACTGCAAATATCACTATGTTAGTAATTGGCCGGCTAGTTCGAGCAAGGTAATTTACTGCTCTAAACCAAAAAGATACTAACATCCAAAATAATAAGAAAGAGGAGATGCATGGTATTTAAACCAACTATTCAATACACAACAACCTACATACCAAGTTTATCTTGTTTAATCTTCAAAGTAAAAAATCCAGCTACATTCGTACTCTGGCAGCTAAAATAATTAATAAAGAAGGAAAAGATCGAATAGCAGTAGGTGTAAGCATTAGTAGAATGAATATGGCAGATAATGGTGGTCAGGTGGATCACATGCCAAGTGCCTTACAACTGAAGAAAATATAGCTGTATTGTGTTGGAGTACGTTCATAATAAATGCACTTTTAGTACCCCCAGTAAATTCTTCTTTGTTGGTAAATTATTTTTCCTTATTCTCATCCACTATCTGCGTTATGCTCAGATTAATTTGGATTTTCGCCGAGTAAGGCTTTTTAAAAGGAGAAACGCTTCCTATCATGACTTCTTTAAATTTTCAAGGCTCGAAATCGAAATTTTTAATGAAGGGCGGATGAATCTTATACATACCACCGCAACTTTTGATGATCATGTTTATTGAGATAATTAACTTATTTGCTGAGTTGTATTTGCTGAGTTGTATTTGTATAGCTGAGTTGTAATTAGATTAGTTGTACTTTTCTTCCTTATTTTCCACGTGTGCATATATACACACACTTTGTAATTCTGAAGTTGAGAGAGTCATTTTTAATATCAATTTTTCTCTTTCTGTTCTCCCGGATATTTTCTCTCTCTCTCTCGAACGTTCCAAACCGCCATTGAAGCTCTTGCATGAGCTTAATCTTAGGTCAAAGTACAAATCTCAATATGGTATCAGAGCAAGGGTGATATCGTCGGCGAAGATCTGTCGGAGTTCCTCCTCCTCAAAACCTATCTCGTTCAGTCATCTGCTAGGTCTCAGTTTTCCGATTTCGAACTGTAGTACTTTGCGAAGTGAAGGCACTTTACACGATTAGACAGTTTGTCCAACGATTCAGCTAAGAAATTAGCCAATTTCATCATCCAGTCCCTTTCTCATGGCTATCGATCAGACCGAAGAACGTCACACCCAACACNCATATTCCAACTAGATGTAAACAATGCATTCCTTCATGGTGATTTATATGAAGAAGTGTACATGGAAGTACCACCAGGCCTTCTAATTGATCAAACTGGTCCACAAAAGGTAGTATGCAAACTTAATAAATCACTGTATGGACTAAAACAAGCCAGCAGACAATGGTATGCTAAGTTGACTGAAGCCCTATCCTCATTGGGGTATAGACATTCTGAGAATGATTACTCACTCTTCTCTAAGAAGACCTCTTCTCACACCATATTTGTAGCTGTCTATGTTGATGATGTTATCATCACTGGGGATGATTCAGTTGAGATAGCCAATTTAAAATCATTCCTTGATAAGCAATTCAGAATCAAGGATCTTGGGAAACTCCATTACTTCTTGGGCCTAGAAGTCCTCTACAAGTCAGATGGAATTATCATGTCTCAAAGGAAGTTCACCCTAGATTTGTTAAAAGAATATGACTGTTTTGGCTACAGTAGTCTGTCTTCTCCCCTTGACCCTGCTGTGAAGTTGAAGGGTGATGAAGGTACTCTCCTTCCAGATCCTACATATTACAGAAAGTTAGTGGGAAAACTGAACTTCCTCACCAACACACGACTTGACATAGCCTACAGTGTGCAGCTTCTGAGTCAGTTCATGCAAGCACCCAGAGATACACATCTGAAAGCTGCATTTCATCTCCTCAGGTATCTCAAGAGTGATCCCACTCTTGGTATATTCTTTTCCAACAACACTGACTGCTCCATTAGTGCCTACTGTGACTCTGACTGGGCTTCATGCCCTGATTCTAGGAAGTCTGTTACTGGGTACATAGTTTTGGTAGGAGATAGCCCCATTAGTTGGAAGTCAAAGAAGCAAGAAACTGTTTCCTTATCTTCAGCTGAGGCAGAGTACAGGTCACTCAGGAAGGTAGTAGGAGAATTGGTATGGTTGAACAGATTATTTGAGGAGTTCACTGTTTCACAGTCCAGCCCCATTGTTGTGTTCTGTGACAGTCTATCTGCTATTCACATTGCTCACAATCCAGTTTTTCATGAAAGGACAAAACATATCGAGGTTGATTGCCATTTTGTACGGAACAAACTTCAGGAAAGCTTGATTTCTCTCTACCATGTGGCCACCACTAATCAGCTAGCTGATATACTCACCAAGGCACTTACTGGAGTCAAACATCATGCCGTACTTGGCAAGTTGGCTGTGAGATCCTCCCATCCAACTTGAGGGGGGTATTGAGATAATTAACTTATTTGCTGAGTTGTATTTGTATAGCTGAGTTGTAATTAGATTAGTTGTACTTTTCTTCCTTATTTTCCACGTGTGCATATATACACACACTTTGTAATTCTGAAGTTGAGAGAGTCATTTTTAATATCAATTTTTCTCTTTCTGTTCTCCCGGATATTCTCTCTCTCTCTCGAACGTTCCAAACCGCCATTGAAGCTCTTGCATGAGCTTAATCTTAGGTCAAAGTACAAATCTCAATAGTGTTGGTGATATTAATAAATCCCCATAAAAATCGAACAACTTGCTATATATACAACACTTTGCACCATTGGCTAAATAGACAACAGAGACATGGGAAACCACAGTATATGCCAACATCATGCGTTTGGGAACTGTCAAAGCCAGCTTTTTTCATTAATATTCTTGTTGGTGGGTCATTTCAAATACTAATGGTTGTAAATATATAGCTTCATGATTAAGGTATCATTTTTCTCGTGGGAGGCAAATTTCCAAATTTTAATTTAGTGGACTTAGATTATTTCTACAACCATTATTTTGGTTATGACAACAAGTACAAACTTCTTGTATGCATATCTATAAAAGAAGATAATGAAAAACAAATCTGGTACGAAGTACTTCTCCTTTTAATAGATTTTATATGGCGTAAATTTAAATTAGTTGGATCTCAACGCACATATCGGTCAAGTGACATCGTATGGAAACCAAAAGAAAAAAAAATACTACACATAATTTTGTTTGCGCATGCGCTACTTGTAATGTCATTTACTCTTGTATGGCATAGTAATGATAGTTTCATTATGATACTGATACCGATACTGATTAATTAGTTTCCAAATATAGGTACACAATATGGAATAAACATTTATCAACCATATACTATATATATATAGTAAAGGATATATTTTAGAGCTGGGTTTCTGTAATATATGTCCAAATTATAGTTATAACTAATCAATTTGTGTCATCTTGATTAAGTTTAATACCTTTGCCTTCATTGAAAATTAATCTTATCCGTTATTTGTATTGGGGCGGAGCTACAATATTAGGTACCGGTTTATAAGAATACAAATTCTTTTGCTTAGACCTTTGTTTGTGTCATAAAATTTATTAAATACGTAGAAGTATTCAATTGTTAACCCAATAATTAAAACTGAGTTGCGAGTTTGATAGGCGGCAGTTGTGCGTGGATTGGTGTGGAGTGATGGGTTGCCATCTTTCTGCAATATTACATCAGTTCATCCGCGTGAAGAGTGTTTTGACTTTGTTTATAAAATATTTATATCTTCCGTGCTATAATAAGAATAAATTAAAACTTGGAGCTTTTAATACAGTCAACAAGTTCCTTTATAAATCTCAACTTGTCCACTGCTAAAATTAAGTATCCTCTGATTTAACCAATATCAATAACTGCATTCAGTGGACTATGATCTGAAGTAAATCTTGGATTGGTTAACTGCATTATATTGCTAAATAATCAATGACGACTGTTAGTATAGTCTCTTGCTAATAAATTACTCCTTCCGGTCCATAATAAGTGACAAATTTGCCTTTTTATTTTGGTCCAAAGTAAGTGTCCATTTATATAATCAAGAAAAAATTCAATTTGTTTTTCCAAAATTACTCTTATGTACGTATTCCTAAAAACTCTTTTACTCCTCACATTAAATTACACTGCAATATTTAATTAAGGGTAGTTTAGTCCACTAACTATTTTTATCTAGAATTTAGTATTTCTTTAATGGGTGTACTTAAGGCAAATTGGTCACTTATTGTGGACCAAAGGGAGTATTATTAATGTTAAAAAATTTCTTTTTTAAGGAGTCCATGTACTTTAGATCATTTTCACGTGGGGACAAATTACACCTCATCCTTCAAAATAGACAGTGTGGACATACTAATACAGTGTGTGGTGTATAAATTCAATTAATATTGCGTAAGTGAGCGCAAGTCCTTTTTTCCATATCATGTCATTATAATTGATCATTAAGTCTTTTTCAACTTAATGAGATCTTTATTTCTCCAACGTACATGTCGATGACATTTTATCAACTCCATTT